GCTCTAACAACCTAATCAGATTCTATCTATCTCAGGTTGCAGCAGAAATCAAGAAAAGATGATCAGACTTCAATTGATTCAATGAATCATGCATCATTCGATTAAAACCAAACAGTATAGCAATCCCAAGTCATTACAATCAAGATCCCTAACACATGGAACTAGTGTTCTTCATACCTAAGTGAGAGAAGGCTCTACTCCATAGAGAGAGAGAGGGAAACATAATACAAAGCAGTCATACTCATAACAATGGGAAGAATCTGCTCTGGGATGATGATCTTCACTCCAAGGATGATTTCCAAGCTTGATTGATGAAACTCAGCTCCAAAACCACTCTTAGGGGGTGTTCTTCGCACTTTCTCTTTCTAGGGCTCTGTTTTTGCTCCAAAAAGTCGATTCCCCCATAATATGAGCTCCTCGCCAAATAAAACCCGAACAGGTGAAAAACACGGCCTCTAATCAAAAGAGGCCGGGTTTTTGAATGGCGATTCTGTGAAGGGCAGAGGAAAAACACGGCCTCTAGCACAAGGCCGTGTTTTTCACACCAGAGGGCGTGTTTTTCAACAGCCCTGCTGCCCGGTTTTCGCGATCGACCTTCTTTCACCTCCAAATATCCCGAAACTTGCCCCAAGGCCCTATCTATGTACTAGGACCTGAAATATGATAAAAGAACACAACCTAGCGTAAAATAGGCCAAGGAATGACCAATCACTAAGCTAAACGATCAAGAAATGACGGGGAAAACATGTGCGAATACGGTGTTATCAAATTCCCCCACACTTAATCGTTTGCTTGTCCCCAAGCAAATCAAGTCAGATACAAGGTAAGCTCAAATCATCTTAATCATGCAACCCTTGGGGACATATCATATCGGCACAAAACACGTGAATCATACTGGCTTTTGATTATTAACACATGGACAACTTCAATAGCAACCTAGACAACCACCACAGAAGACATTCGAGTGCAGTAAAATCGGGTAAAGGAAGAGTCCCCCTTCTGTTCACCAACCAACATAGACTCGACTCAACCACTTAGCCATGACAGTCATCGAATGCATCAAACTCAAGACATCGGAATCAAGACCGAGCCATCTAGGTCCTCACCGCGGTAAAGAGTATACAGAACAAGGAAATGAATCGCTCACTCTCGACCAGTGGGGTCAGGACAATTTGATGCGAAAAATGCGCATGCTTATTCTCTCATTCCCTAACGTCTCTTCACCATGACGGCAACCTCTAAATGTTAGAGTTCACATATTGGGTGTCATACTAACTAATCCGGAGGTCTTAGACACAGGTTCAAGTGACTGGCTAGGGTCTTGGACATAGGGAAAAAGCCTTTTAGGTGGTGGAAGTATTCATAACACAAGGTTCCGCTGTTTCAAACCCAACACAATCACAGCCAATCAAACCACTTACTTTCTTTCTGCTATTCTGCATTACTCAAATTCCTTAGAGCACAAGAGCGAAGGAGGTCACAATAATGTTAGTATTTCCAAGCCAGACTGCTAAGAAACACTAATTAATGAGCATGATTCAAATTTTTGGTAGTGGCTCTCTTTTGCTTTCATTCATCTTTTTTTTCTTCTTTTTTTCATTTCTTGTGAGAACCACCACCTCTGCACATTTTTCAAACACATGCCCAATTTTTAAGCACTACCTCCAACCCTCACATTATTTTTAGCAGAAACAGCAGAGAACAACCAAAAACCACTCTGTGGAACCTTCTAAGAGATGCAAAAGGGTGGTTTTCCATTGTAGACCGAAAGAAAGGAAATTACATGGCTCAAAGGGGCTGACTAGGGGGTATGACACACCATGACAGCCAATTTGGTCATGGGCTATTCCTATGCCTCCATCATCTTAGCTAATGACAACGTGAATACTACACATCATGGAAGAGGGATCTATCGCACAAGAAAGAAACGAGCAGGCTCAAATCTCACATGGCTACCTATATGCTCTATCTCTCATTTTGATTCCCTGAACTAGATGCATAAACGACTGTCAAGAGCAAGTGATCAATCCAAGTCACAGTTGCTAAGCAAACAGTTGAAAAAATGAACCCCTACACAACTCTACTGCACGTCTCAGTCATCATTATAGGTTTTCCTAGTCACAATCCAGTTGTCATGCGTCAACTCTAACAGTCATTCGATTCACCAATTAAACCACAGTGCCAATATGATCATGCAAACATCACTACTTGGAGCCCTCAAATCTCGAGATTTGGACAGCGGACTAGGCTCCAAGAACACATATATATGTTCCAATAAATACAAAGTACCCTCCCCCCACACTTAAGTTAGACATTGCCCTCAATGGAGTAGAGGGAAGGGAAACGATGTTACCGTGAAAGAGCGATCAGGAACGGTGATTGGAGGGCGGACCAGTCAAGAGCAGGGGACAAGACAATGACCAATCCAAGGCCCAGAGCTAAAGTCATCAAAACACACACACTGGGTGAAAGAACTAGGGTTCCATGTGGACAAACCGAAAGCAAACGAAAGGAAAAAAAATCTTGGTGGGATTGCATCCCCACAAGCGCTTCTTTACCATCGTGAGCTGGACGGTGGCTCTTAAGTCTCGGTCCACCCCAAAACCTCTTTGAAGTTAAGGTTCTCGTCGATGGTGTGGAGTCTCAAGTCACAAGCAGTTGATGTGATAAGTGATGAAGATGGCTCATGGCCTTGAGGAAGATGAAGTCTCCACTCTCGAGACCTCTCCTTCGCATTTGCTCTTGTCTCATTGCCCCAAACTAGATAAGATATCATCGATTCTTCAACCCCCCCTCCTTCCTCAGAATTTGATTCCTCCCTTGGGAAAAGATCAAGAACTTCCTCATCCTCCATAACTTCTTTCCTCACCCTTTCTCTCTCTTCTTCTTCCATAATGGATTGGAGAGAAAGTTGCCATGCAAGGTTCTTTATAAGTTCAGCTTGCATCTCCTCACGCATGTCTGCCTCTTCAAAGTTTGATGAGGAATGGGAAAAGGTGTGGTCGGCTAAAACAGGATATTCCTGATCATGATCATCACGGGAGCTCTCCATGACAACTTATGTCTGCTCCACAATGTCCTTGTAGACTTCTTCATCCTCCTCCACTTCTTCTATGGAAGCAGAAAGGCGATCTTGAGCAGACTGTGCGCAAACTTGCTCCACCCACTCTGTTTGCTTTGCTGAGTATTGAACAACCTCCTCCATTTCATGGAGAAATTAGGGATAAGAAGGGGCAAGGGCTTGGATTTGAAGATCCATCTTGGAGCATGATCTCTCCGTGTCTCGAGCAAACTGCTCCATAAGAAGCCTCAATTGTTTGTTCGGATCTGCCAGTGGAGTGTAGCATGGCTCTACAGAATGGCACGTGAAGGCCGCCATGGCTAACTCCAACTCAGATGGCCCCTCCGGTTGTGGGATGAATTCTTCTTGAAAAGGAGATTGTTCTTGAGGTTCCCAAGGGATTGGTTGTTCTCCGTAGTAGGGGGGTTGGTACTGACATCCGAATCCATAGTCTTCTCCTCCTTGATTGCTCCAGGAACTCTTGGGGTAATACCACCCGGATGGTGGTTGATACCCCCAATGGTTGGAGAAACCATGAGGATCCATGTTTCAGATCTGCACCAACAAAAACATAACACCCAAGTGAAAAGCAAGGGTGGAAAAGAAAAGGAAAATGCTAATGTAACAGACTTTCACTTTTCTACAATAACCTAGGGTCCCCGGCAACGGCGCCAAAAACTTGACACACTAAAACACAACACCAAACTGCGACCAAGTGTAATCGCAGTCCGGAAATGCAGTAACAGGCAAGCTCTAATTGTCAACCCGGGGTCTAGATCTACTGCCTACTCCGTGTATATCTGTTATCTAGCAAACTAAGTCGAGTGATTTGTGTTTTCAACTAAAAGTAGCTCGGGAAATGGTTCGGTTTTCTAAAGCAAAGGAAGAGTCACTCGGGAATGAGTCCCCGTAGCTCCTTAGTTAGGTCTCAGTTGTAATTACCCTGGGTTGATAAACTGTTGATTAAACTGCGGAAGATCCGACAGTGGCTTGGAATCTCTTAAGCTGACCAAGCCCTCTTAGGCAGGCGACTAACCTTCACCGGGATAGACTGCTGAGGCAATAAGCATAGAACTCCACTACTGGAATTGGATTCCAGTACAAAGCAATAGATTGACTTACTCTCGTATAACCAATCTACCACTACCGAATGATGAAGCTCTAACAACCTAATCAGATTCTATCTATCTCAGGTTGCAGCAGAAATCAAGAAAAGATGACCAGACTTCAATTGATTCAATGAATCATGCATCATTCGATTAAAACCAAACAGTATAGCATTCCCAAGTCATTACAATCAAGATCCCTAACACATGGAACTAGGGTTCTTCATACCCAAGTGAGAGAAGGTTCTACTCCATAGAGAGAGAGAGGGAAACAGAATACAAAGCAGTCATACTCATAACAATGGGAAGAATCTGCTCTGGGATGATGATCTTCACTCCAAGGATGATTTCCAAGCCTGATTGATGAAACTCAGCTCCAAAACCACTCTTAGGGGGTGTTCTTCACACTTTCTCTCTCTAGGGCTCCGTTTTTGCTCCAAAAAGTCGATTCTCCCCAAATATGAGCTCCTCGCCAAATAAAACCCGTAACAGGTGAAAAACACGGCCTCTAAGCCCAAAAACACGGCCGGGTTTTTTGAATGGCGATTCTGTGAAGGGCAGAGGAAAAACACGGCCTCTAGCACAAGGCCGTGTTTTTCACACCAGAGGGTGTGTTTGAGGGCGTGTCATCCCTGCTGCCCGGTTTTCGCGATCGACCTTCTTTCACCTCCAAATGTCCCGAAACTTGCCCCAAGGCCATATCTACGTACTTGGACCTGAAATATGACAAAAGAACACAACCTAGCGTAAAATAGGCCAAGGAATGACCAATCACTAAGCTAAACGATCAAGAAATGATGGGGAAAACATGTGCGAATACGGTGTTATCAGAGAGCCGTATCGTCGAGTTTCGTCGAAAGAGTCTTTGGCAGAACGTACACTGATTCGCCGAATGGGTGGTATTTTGACCTATCAAAATCTAGAGTTTTTAGGGTTGCCTTCCATGCTTCCGGTGTGATAGAGTACAGTGCGCATGCCTCCTCCTCAGTCCTAATTCTCTCAGAGATGATAATATCATCATCGCTATCCTCCATCCTCTTACATGCTGCTGCTATAAGCTCCTCCTCGAATGGTGCTACTTCTCCTTGCGTCAGAACCTCAGTAGAATGATCAACCACCGTAGTCGGAGATGTTATGATACTCTCCTAAGCAGCAGCAGTTGACTTGATAGGTATCTGCAAAACATTGCCAAAGGCTAGTATCTACTAAAAAGAAATAAATATCCTGGAAGCCCAGGCTAGTATTCATAGAAACAGAAACAAATATCCAGTAAGCCCAGGCTAGTATCCATAGAAACAGAAACAAATATCCATGATGGACATACTAGTATCCACTTAATATTAAACAAATATCCTGGCAGTCCGGGCTAGTATCTACTTGAAATGAAACAAATATCCTGGCAGTCCAGGTTAGTATCTACTGGTGAGGGAAATATTACCGTAGTCAGAAATGTCTTGATACTCTCTTCAACAACAGCAGTGGCCTGGAAACCAATCTGCATCACATCAGTGAATATCATATCCGGATCGGTATAATGCATGACCATTGACTCTGAATCCACCACTTGTTCAAGAGTGGACACAATTGCATCTGCTGAACTACCAGATCAAACACAATGGACGGCTCAAGAAATGACTCCGACTACACCACTTTCCCAACAGTCGACTTACCGACTAACTCAACTACGTCATCAACTGTTGATGTAACGGCTGGCACCTCCAACTCCTGAACAACTGGAAACACTGTCTTCTTACGTCCTTTCTTGGAGTACACAAGGCTAAACATGTTGTTGTCTCTCACAGTACCTTGACTAACCTCGTCCTCCATGACAACTCCCGGATCTTCCTCCTCCCTGACAACTACCTCATCTTCCTCCTCCATTACAACTACCGGATCTTCCATTTTTGCTTTTTCTACTGCTACCAAAGACGAAGAAAATACTGCCAATCTCCCGCGATTCCTATCAAGCTCAGCACCACAAAGTCGAGCTGGAAAACGGGTGCAAGCATATCAATGTTAATATCCGGACTGCCCAGGTAAGTATCTAACAATCAAGCAACTAATATCCAGAAGAACACAGATTAATATCCGGTTGTGAAAGATTTAATATCCTGAAGTTTTGTACAGGTATCCAGAAAGCCCAGACTACTATCTACTTATGTAGTAACTAGACTTTAAGGAACTATTAACCTGTGCTTTCATTCCAATATCCATAATGCAAAATATCCAGATTGAAAATAACTACTACACGTTATAAAAACAAATGTCATTCATGCAATTCATAAATAATATCCAAAATAAATACACACCACTATCCAAAATCAACAGAAAATAAACTTTTGTTCGATACAACTATTGTTCAAAGCAATTCCAACATGGCAATTATAGCATTCTATCAAGAAAGCCATTCCAACATGGCAATTATATCATTCTATAAAGAAACATTACAACCACCTAATGATGTCGAAACATGCAAAGTTCAATTCTTGTCTTGCTGGCGCTTAATGGAAACCCTTCAGACACTTTCTCGCCATGAATCCCACTTATGCATCACTTTTTAAGTCAAGGACTGCATTACCTTAACCTACACATAAATCCCAAAAAATTTAGTTTACTACATGCACACATGTCTACTAACCCACGATTTCCATTTTAAAAGACAATCATCTACATACCTCGTCGGTCTCAAGGGATTCCAAGTCTATTTCCTCCCACCATTCCGTCGTGTATAACCGTGGAAAAGCTGTACCAGGAGCGGAAATGCTTGTTCCTAATTCCCACTCCCTCCTTACACGTCCTGGAAAGAAGCGAGATCAGACTTCTTCTCTCGACAACAATACGAGAGCTACATCATATAGCTCCGCCTTGGGGATAGCCAAGCATAGGTTATCCATCCTTGGTTCGAACCAATAGCTTCAGCTGGGAATTGTATTTGTGGCGAATCCTTTCGCCTTAAGGAAGTCCATCAAATGAAGCTACAAAAAAACATGTCTGTTAGAAAAGATATCACAATAAAAAACAACCACTATCCAGGCAGCACAGAATAGTACCCAGTCATGCTAAAAAGATACTTTGTATCAAAATAACTAATATGCCAAGAATGCTAACAAATATACACAGCTTTAAACTATAACTTACAATCAAGAAGTAGATATCCCCATTAACCCACTGCATCATTTGTCCCTTCGCCCTACCTTCAGCTTCCCTTTTTTTGGTAACAGTCAGCTCTACCTTCAACTGTCGGGCGACGTGACCACTCCAATTAAAAGTTCGAATGTCCTCAACCCTCCCCACCAAGTACTCTGCATAGTCGAACTTACAAATCCGGGAGCTTGTTGGAACGAGCAACGAACCCAGAGCCACAAGTAGGAATGTCGTATACACGGGCAACATCCTCATCTTCTATGGTGAGCACCTATTGCAGGTCAGATGAACAAAGAGCAATGAGCCAGAAGGTCAAGCATACAACAAACAATCCAATAAGCATACAACAAATGGTGATCACCTTCTTGTTCTCGCCTTCAGCAAAAATGAAGCTGTTGGTGCACATGTCGTAATGTGCCATTAAGGTAGGCAGCATCTCCTTAGGAACATCGACCAGCTGAAACTCAAATAGGCTTCCAAATTCAGCCTTCTCGATCTCTCTCTTGCAAGCTTCATAGTATCGTGGATCTTGCTTCCAGTCTTTTATAATTGACAACACCTTCTTGGTGCTACAACAAAATCTATATTGGCGCCCTCCTCCTCCTTCAGCAACTTCTTCAACATTTTCTTCGTCCTCACCGTCTTCGTCCTCATCGACTTCGCCATCATGGTCTTGCCCATCATGGTCTTGGTCATCATCGTCTTCATGCTCAATTTTTGCATCCCCAAAATGTAACACCCTACCTTGTATTCATGTTCTTAATATTTTCCTTGACCAATTTAGGCTTGGTTTACCTACACTCTTTATATGAAGTGCATAGAAAAAATGAAGTTGTATTTAAACCGGTATTGTCTTAAGCCTTAGCTTGCAAAAACTTTACTTGTTCCCTAACTTTTAATTGAAAGATTTGTGGAGAGTTCAGTTCCACCGCCCACCTCTTGGGCATTTGGCCGACCGTACTCATCCGTCTCGCTCTACTGATGTCGTTCTAGTCCATAAACTTGCTATTAAGCTATTCCGTTTTGCTTCAAGGATTCCCCGATTTCCACTTTTCCTGAAGCAACATGCATCCCCCTCGCTAACCTTAGTACTTAGAATTCCCCTCTACCTATGAGAGTGGTCACTGGAATAAAGGATCAACATTTACGGCTTAAGGGTTTTTTGGGAGCTACTTAGTTTCTGGATATTTCTCTCCCACCGGTTGCAGGAGCAAGAAGGGAGGGTGGGGATAACTTACATCCTTCCCTTATCTTGTTTTACTTATAAGGTGAGAAGAGTTACTACGTGTAGGCTTTGCATGGAGGTGAGCATGTGGAACTATTTCCAAGGGTGTGAGGTGGTGACATGAGAGGCACTCCTTCCCATTTTCGGTTCAGTGTGGTGATAAATGGAGCGTAGCGGTAAGACAGGGAATGTGATTCTTTCCATGTCAATAAAATTACCAAATTCTCCGCCAAATCATATCATGTTATTTTTTTTTTGTACAACGTACTTAACAACCTCCTATACCCTTCCTATTTCTATTCAATTTTGCCAACTCATTGAGCGGACCATCTAAATTTGATTTGCTCTTTAAACCACAAAGCATGCATGTGTAACAAGTACCTCAAGTGGGGAGGGTGTGACACAAAATCAAATTCTTCTTCCTCATCTTGATGTTGTTGTTTAGCACGTTTAGGCCTCGATGTTTCAACATTTGTTCGGGGTCTTATTGCTGCAGCATCTTTAGTTCTTGCCATTGTTGTGTTTTCCCTATACAGTAGAATATCCAAATTCGTCAAACAACTATCCAGGAAATTCACAGCTGATATCCAGATATACCACACAAATATCCAGGCAATTCACAATTGATATCCAGATATACCAAACAGATATCCAGGCAAATGAAAATAAATATCCTGCTTCAACAGAACTAATATCGGATCTCAGATACACAAAACGCAGAACAAAAGCAATCCAGATCCAGTCAAACAAGCAAAAAATAAAATCGGGTTACCCAAAATAGTAATCATGCATACTAGGGCAATACCCAAACCCCTCAACACTCGTATCCATCACACAACCATGAAAATGAATCCCATGCATCCAGACAAACCCCAACGAACCATTAACAAGCCGAACCAGCCAAAACCCACAATCCATGAAACCCTAAATACAATCAATTGCAAAACCTAAAACGAATCTATGAAATCTAACAGTCTTAAATATGAAAGAAGCAAGGGGAAGACACATACCTTATCGGCGTAGTCCTAGTCTCGCTGTCGTCACCATCACGTTGCCTCGAGGTTTCGTCTTCTGTTCTGGGCCTCATTGCTGCAGTAGCTTTAGTTCTTGCCATTGTTGTGATTTCCCTGTACAGTAGATATCCAAATTCGTCAAACAACTATCCAGGAAATCCACAACTAATATCCAGATATACAAACATCCAGACAACCCACAACAGATATCCAGATATACTAAACAGATATCCAGGCAATCCACAACTGATATCCAGATATACCAAACATATATCCAGGCAAATGGAAATAAATATCTGGCTTCAACAGAACTAATATCGGATCCCAGATACACAAAATCCAGAACACGTGCAACCCAAATCCAGTCAAATAAGTATAAAAAAAATCGGGTTACCCAAAAACGTAACCATGCACACCAGGGAATACCCAAACCCGTCAACACTCGATCGTAGCCATCACACAAACCCCAACAAACCATTAACAAGCAGAGCCAGCCAAAACCCCCAATCCATGAAACCCTAAATACAATCCATGCCAAAACCTAAAAACGATCCCAATCCCGAATATTTCAGTATATACAGATCTCAATCTCATAATCCCTAATACCGAATAACAATTGAAATTGAATCTCAATCTCAAGAAATAATATGTGTATTCGGTAATACCAAATATAGACAAATTCGATACGATATTCGGTATATTCCAAATACCGATACCAAACTTCCAGCTCTACCTCCAGTCGCTACATGGGATGAGCTCTACAAGGAAGAACTCGCAGAGAGAAGAATCGGAACCCGGCATCGGTGGCCTTCGACGAGAGAATAAGAAGCTCTTCCTTCTCTGTAAGTTTCTGATTTCGTCTTTCTCCTTACTCCCTTGCTTGTGCGCTGTATTCCTTACAATGATTTGGTCATTAGGAGCATGGGCTGGGCGGGAACAACGAGCGATTGTATTAAGGGTGGTTACCTATCAGTTCTGTTCTAGTTTAGTGGCAACAAAAACAGCAGCAACAAGAACATTCACTAGTAGCTAAAGCAGCAGTTAACAGCAGCAAAAGTTAGTTAGAAACACCAGTTAGAGCATAAGCAACAACAAATTATTCGATTTCGTCATCATAGAGTTTTGTTCTTATATTATACTTCACATACACAAAGTTTGCATTGATAGTATAGGGGTGGGCAACGATTCGATTCACATCGGACCGAATCGGCTCTCACACCGAATCGGATCGAACTGTTTACCTTTTGATTCGACTTTGGTTCCTGAATTTGGGACATTTTCGGTTTTGGTTCGGTCAAGACCGAAACTGTAAAATCAAGCTAAGAACCGGACCGAATCGTAATTAAATTAATTGTTTATTTTATTAGGCTCTGAGAAGGAAAGTCGACTTGGAGTTGAAAACCATAGTACCCTACATACCACTTAATTACCTATAAATATGATTGACTTTTCCTGACTTTTACTCGCGCTCCGGCTCCTATAGTCCTACCCTCAAATCAAAGTTCTCATCCACGTTGCTTCGATCAAGAGAGCTGCGTACTTTACCTACACACTGTGAACCAGGTAATTATTTTATGTTCTCTTTTCTTGTTTAATGTTTCAGATATGGAGAAGATGCGAATAAATGACACCACAGATGCTTCTGCCAAGTCTAACGACACCACTGCAAATTAGCAAGTTTAAGAATAATTTGTTTTAGGGTAATGTCTATTTTTTATCCAAATCTTTTTCAGATTCTTTTATATTATCCAAACCTATTAAATTGCTATTAATTAACCAAATCTTTCGTAATGCATCCAAATATTAGCCATTTTTACGTTATCGTCAATAATTTTGTAACTCTTTTCTTAGTTAAAATACTAAAATTTTGGAATGTTGACCTTGTTGCCAAGTCAATATTACTAACAAAATTGCTAACTGAAAGTTAACATTTGGCTAATTCTTAGTATTTCGATAGTTTTGGATAATATAAAAGAATCGAAAAAAGGTTTGGATAAAAAATAGACATTACCCTTTGTCTTATTGCACTAGTTCTTGGAGTAAGTGTCATTTTGTTAAACTCCTTTCTAATAAACAGTGGAAATTATGGAGATTGGGAGGTGCAATCTTGAAATGAAAATGGAAGATTAGAGAGGCAATTAGTTAGACTACTTTGAGATTGAATAAAAAGACTTGTCTTTTAGTTAAGTAGTTCTCGTTCAGCTTTTTGCATAATATTTTGGAACATGTGGGTTTTAAGAATTGTGGAGTATTTAAATTGGGATAATTTGATTACTTCTTTTTATGTAGTTATATTTTTTTAATTTTTGTGTTGTCCTTTAAGGGTGATTTTATTCGAATGAAAGATTAGTCGGTCCAATGGGATGGTCCAGACCGAATCGAGCCATATATGGTTTGATCCGGGCCGAATCGAAGTAATAACGAATCGACTTGGTCCTTAATTTAGAAAAAAATTTGGTCCGGTCCAAGGATAGTTTGGTCCGGTATTGGACCGAATCGACCGATGCCCACTCCTAATTGATACTGTTGTTGTATGTTGAATTAATATTCATATTAAGCATGAGATTTTGATCAATTCCCAGTTGCCAATTCCGAGATGGTCATTTCTTTGGTTTTAGTATTTCCACAGCCAAACAACCTCTTCCAAAACCAAAAGTAAATTTGTAGTCATATATAATACGGGCCGGGTTTACAATACAGGCTCTAATGGCTTGGGTTGTTTTAGGTTAAAATAATTGGTTCTACTTCACTCATGTTTGGGCCTGAGCTGCCCATTTATCACAAACTCGAAATGGGCTATCCAGAGTTGACTGTTCCCCCGTTCATGGCCTGGCCTGCCTTACTCTTATCATTATCCGAATGTGAAAGGGAAATGGAAGTCCGACCCGGAAACGGAATCCGGGAAATGGCAACAGAACAGACTATGAATGGAGCTATAAAAATACCTCCAAACGCAACTCTCATTTTCTCACACACACTGCCCTCTCTCTCTCTCTCTCTCTCTCTCTGTTTCCGATAGTTCCTTCTTTCTCTGCCTACTTCCGTAATTCCCCAATTTTCTCTCCGACTTCCAAGAATGGCGGTAATAGTGCTCGACCCTTCCTCCTCCGCCGGACTGCTCCCAACTCCACCACTTTCAAGAATGAAGGCAGTAGTCCTCAACCCTTCCTCTTCCTCCTCCGCCGGACTGCTCCCCACTCCACCGCCGTCGAAGCGCCTGCTACCACTCCCTTGTAGTCTCTCCGCTTCCTCGGGGTTTGGCGGCGGCTACAACCGGAAATCATGCTCAGCCGCGTCGCGATCATCAACTTCACCGTCCCCTCCCCGCCAGAATCACGAAAAGAAACAGAAGACTGCCAATAAGAAGCTGCAGTTCCAAAAATCTCATGATGGCAAGTGCGCAGAGAAGAAGAAGAAACCGTACTATAGCGGGTCATCCTTCTCCGTGCCTTCGCCTCCTCCGGATTCCTTGCCTCTGCCCTCTTTCCTGTCCGGCGGCTCTCCCGCGACCGGAATAGAGAGCAAGCTGCCTCCACTGTTGCAGAAGCAGCCCTACGCCCGCGATTTCTTGCTCTCCTTGTCCCAATCTGCTCCGCCCACTTGTCCTCCGATTCATCATCAACTGGACCTCTCTTCTCTAGATTGCCCTCCGGAATTTGCTGAATTTGAATAGTAATTGTCTGTAAATCTATAATCTGTATGTTAATGAGAAAATTCTTCAGTAATTAGCTAGGTTTCATTGGCAATGAGTTCTGATCTTCATTACAGTAACGTTTGCCATACAAATTGCAACTCTTACCTTTGGTATTTTAATATACACTACGCACTCAAAGTCGCTATCCAAGTTTACATGGTCTGTATCGCCGCCTACCGACGATGGAACAATTAGTAAAATCAATACTCTTCGAATTAATTGAAAATCGGATCAAGAGACACAAGGCCAAGATTCAACTTCTCGACTTCTTTACAAGTACAGCAAACCAAGAGTTCTTGATCACCAGAGCAAAGAAAACGAAGACAAGTGTGCTTGTCTGACCTGGTAGATAACATGTTTAAGACCTGTACTATATGCCCAAGAGCCGCGGTCAAATGAATTACACTTAACGGGTTAAAGGAACTTCTAAAGGTACGACTCTGTTCTAGTAGTAGTAGTAGTAAAAGTATGAAACTTGACAAATGGCTCCATGCAAGGTAGGGCTATAGACCAGAAGGGCCATCTAAATTATCAACCAAAACCATCCAGACAGTTCATCTTCAAAGTGGCATTGGCATGAAAAAATCAAACTCCAATGACACATGACAGAAGGGAACTCGACACTTGATCACCCAACCATTCTATTAGCACACATCACTCAAGTCACCAGTAGACATCAACCTTCAAACCAGAGACAAGGAACCAAAATGTCTACTTGGAGTTTGAATTGCAATGATGGCAAGCGCTGGGTGCTGACTCGAACTCCAATGAGATAAACAGAAGGCTTAAGTTCAGAGAATGGAAGGGAGGCAGTCAAAAACATTAATCTTATAATGCAACACAAACTAATCTCCTAGCAAGGGTAATGGAAAAGATGGCACTCTTGAAACAGCCCAAACTAAACATGGTTGCCTCAACTCTCTTCTTCTTTCCCTAACAAGATAGTCACAGCATCACAAGCTGGTTAAGCTTGTACAAAGGATTCCAAATTGATAGCTACAGAAGCCATAGAACAGAAACCCTAGATTCAATCAGCCTATCTGAATGAAAGAACCAATAACAGATATGAATCCTAGATAACTTTCCACGAAGAAATTCAGACATACAGGCAGCAAAAAACCATTCTCACAATCAACATCAATTAGAGAACCATAAGATCAAACAAGGCCTCTCATACTTTGCCAACCACGATTCAATTGCAGAAAACGCAAACTAAATGACAACCAATTAAGTGACTAAGAGGGAATCATGAAAATGAAACCCTTACTGAAACTACATAGAACTTTGCTCCAGAATCAAAATCATTATCCCAGTACAGATTGTTCGAAACTGTCTTCAACCACTACTAATTCATTCGGAAAACAGAAAAAGAGTTCCAACAGATAGGGGAAATGAAGAAAAACTCGAGCAAACACCTTAGAACCCAAGCTTGGTCCTGCGCCAGTGCCTGCGCTTCGCATTGTACCTGCAAAATCCCACAGCCAAAAACACACCCAATAAACATCCCAATCGATTCAAAGCTTAATTCCATAAAAAAAAAAAAAAAAAAAAAAAACAGAACACCACAAAAACTTCGAATTTGCAGAAAGAAAACAAAAGGCAAGTAAACGAGCGAGCGCACCTGATGGTGTTGTCGGTCCTCATGCGGATCCAGTAAGGGATTGGCCTGTTCTGGCGCATCTTCTTCGCCAGCTTCTTCTTGATCATGAACGACTTGTGCGACGGCTGCGCAAATTTATCAACAGAAATCCATCAGCGGTCAGTTAGATTCGGAAACGTTCGATCCCAGATCGAGTGAAGGAGGTGCTCGCTTTAGATACTGTGAGAGCTAGATATTGAAGAAGAACTCACCATTTTCGCCTCCTTGGTGATGAACTAGCGAGCAGCTGCGGTGAGGGTTTTGCTGAAGCGGCCGTTCTGAATACACGAAGGAGAAAAAACCCTAGCAGGCAGAGTATTGATTTTATAGTTCCATCATATTTGGTAGTTCGCCGACTAAGCCTTTCCTTCATGGGCTTAGTGGTTTCGGTAGAACACTGGGCTGGCAGTTGAACATAAGAAATTATGCTGGCCCGAACTTATCACTTGGACGGGCCAGTAGCTTTCTTATTGTGTTAACTGGGCTCCGATGGGTATCCAGCAAGGCAGCAACCGGTTACCGACTAATGGTTACTAACCTATGAATAACTAAATTCGGACATTAAATCTAAATGGGCCCATAAAATTCAGATCTAATGGTTGTCAATTTAATACATTTTATTTTCTCTAGTTATCATAATCGCCTCTTGAGGAATTTTACAATGCTATATAGCATTGGTGCTATAGGTTTTTGCCTTTATACAACTTGAAATTGTACCTTTAACGTTAAGGTACAACTTCATATTGTACCTATACTTTTTGTACAAATTCTTTTATGGTACAACTTAAACGTGTACCTTATATGATGGTACAACTTCAAGTTGCAAAGTTGTACCATAACACAAAGTTGTACTTATACATTTAATGTTAGGGTTAATATTTTCGTATGGCCTGAACTTTGACCAAAATAAACATCCTGGCCAATCTTTTCGATCTATAACATCGTGGCCCGAACTATACACCAAAATAAACAATTTGGCCAAACCCGATGTTTGACCGTTAACTTGGACGGTCAAACGCGTTGACTAACGGTCAACGCGCCACGTCACTGCCAAGTCAGAAGATCTGATAAATATTTAAATTTTTGTTTTTTATTTTTGATTTAACTAAGGTATTAGATGATTTTTTTAATTTATAATAATTTAAAATTAGGGAATGGGTGGAAATTGTGGATTATTTTAAATATCTTATGCTGACTTGGCAGTGATATGGCGCGTTGACTAACGGTCAACGTGTTTGACCGTCCAAGTTAACGGTCAAAAGTCGGATCTGGCCAAATTGTTTATTTTGGTGTATAGTTTGGGCCAGGATGTTATAGATCGAAAAGATTGGCCAGGATGTTTATTTTGGTCAAAGTTCAGGCCATACAAAAATATTAACCCTAACATTAAATGTATAAGTTTAGGTTGTACCATAAAGGAAAAGATTGTCGGTTCTCCCAAATCGCGATGAATTCCCTCAACTTCGTGGGCCAATCGCGAGTACCTTGCCGACCATCTCGGCCATGGAAGGCCTTTTGACTTTCGGGGACCACCAACGGAATGCACTGTTCCCGACCAAACTGACGGAGGCATCGATCCGGCAAGTGCCACTCCACGGTCCCAAAACAAATTAGAGGAACCCTCGTGCACCATTGCCCGATATGACCGGGGAATTGCTGGAGATGCCATTGAACGATGTTCTCCGGGTATGGATCGAAGACGATCTACAAGAAAGAAATGAGTAACGTAAGATTAATTAATTAGAAAAATACATGTTGTCCCATGAAAAACAGATATAAATGGATCGCAGTATAGAAGTTACCTCTCCTTCCCAAAGTCGCTCAAACCTCCTCCGATACTCCTCCAACTTGTGTTGGGCAAGGTTGTCGCATGTTGTGTGTCCAAGCCACCTTATTAATAAGACAAGAATGAAACTACAATAAGATAAAACACAAGACAAAATGTGTTATGACTACATGATGGGGTATGAGAAGTTTACCTTGCTCCATAAGCTTCACCTCTTAGGGGATGATCGATTGGCCAATCCCTCTCTGGACGTTGGGCCGGTGCAAGCCATGGCATATGCTCCCAAGCCCAAAATTGGACGATGAACATTGCGCCGCTGACCTCCCTCACGGCTTTTAGAGACGCATTGCACAAGTTGTTGTAGATGATAGCTAGGCAAGCGGATGCCCAACTATACTCCCCCATCTCCTCCCAACTACTGAAGATGATCCTAAGCCATCCACAACTAAGGAGATTGCTTGATTTCTTGGAGAAGAACACTCCTCCGATCATGCCTATGAGATAGACACGAGCATATCTCTCCTTCTCATCCTCCGGACTTTCCTCGGTTAGGGGGTGACTCTCGTAATGCTCTCTAAAATACTTCGTCAACCATGTCATTGAGACTTGGTGTTTCCTCAATGGTGGCATGCGATCGGTCGCATCAACGCAACCCTTCACCGGTACTTTCACTCCCAAATGACTGTGGATGAAATGCTGCCAACCGGGCATACCGTCACAATCCTCGGGGGGATGATCACTCACGCACACCGGTTTGCCGTCGATGGGCAGATGGGTTAGGATGGCGACATCCTTTAGCGTGATGGTGGCCTCTCCTTCTCTAAAGTTGAAACAATGGGTCTCCTTTCTCCATCTCTCGGCTAATGCGGTGATGAGTTGGCGATCGATTTGGATGCCGTTAAAATGCCTAATCGAGTCTAACCGTGCCCTTTTGAGAAATGGCAAGATAGCTGGGTGGAATGGGAGCACATTGGTGGTACCCCTGTAGCGGATTATTGTTTGTGCCTCCTAGCAAAAATGTACACGTTAATTATTATTAGTAAGGGTTTTTTTTCGTATAACTAAATTAATTTAATTAAATTATGCGACATAAAACATAATTTTATTATCATAAAAAGACATTTCATATTATCATAAAACAAACGTCCTAAATTAATTAACATAATAACATTGTCAATGAATAATAATTTAAAGAGGTACATACATATTATCGTAAAACAAACATACTAAATTAATTAACATAAATAACATTGTCAATGAATAATAATTTAAAGAGGTACATACATATTATCGTAAAACAAACATACTAAATTAATTAACATAAATAACATTGTTAATGAATAATAATTTAAGTAGAAACATACATATTCAAATGTTTGGTAAATAATTTAATCGTATTAGTTGCTTTAAATAATTTAATCGAATACAAAGCAACACTCGTTAGACTCTTAGAAGAGGTATACATCTTCTTAGAAACGCAGTCTTTTTGACAGAAAAAGGGGAGATCCGAGGATCTCTTAATACCCGATTTTCCCAGGTAATGGGAGGATATGATAATCGCTTAAAACCCCATTTCCTTAGACGTGCATCTCTTTATAAAGAGTCGAAGTAAGTGGCGCTATGTATTCGATTAAATTATTGAAAACAACCAACACGATTAAAAAATAAACATAAATTTATTTTATATTACACTAGGCACATTAACAAAATAAAAGAAGGACAAATGGTGAAGAATTGTATGTACCGGGTGATCGTTCCAAACATCCCTTGACCGATGGTTGGGTTGGTCGTACAAGTTGGTTGGGTCCACCGGTCCTTGCTCGAGATAATACCGTTGGTTGTATATATCGACGTCCTCCCCAACCTACGAGAAAATAACAACGAGGTTAGTACATAGAATAATTAAAAAACTTATAACAACAACAAAAATTAAACCAGAATAATGAGTACATACCGCTTGAAATTCATCAACATAAACTCCTTCTCCTTGCCACCAATCGGCCATTTTTTCGGCGTAATTCGGACAGAGCTTCGGCTCGACTCGGAGGGTTTTGAGGAAAAAACCTAAGAAATGTTTTCTGATGGCAGATCGGACTTAGCCGCAACCAACAGACCACTATTTCCTAGGCTTTTGGGAGGGGAGGGTTTAGAGAGATAAATTGTAGAGAGAGAAGGAAGAATGGGTTGTGGTGTGAAGAAATGAGAGGGGGAGGGGGGGTATTTATACCCATCAGACCGCACCCCCCAGGGGCGGTCCGGTAATTTTGCACTAAGGGAAACCGCTGCCTCCCGATGCGGTTTGCGCTTCCCTAGGCTTGACCGCATCTCGGGCGCGCGTTCTGCGATCCTTGGCGCGGATCGCTCCGCTGGCATGCGGTCCACCGTCAGATCGCATCTCCATCTGACGGTCTTGAAGACCGTTCCGCAGCTGGCGCGGATCGCTCCGCTGGCTTGCGTTTCCTCGCGCAGACCGCACCTCCATGATGCGTTTTATAAGTAAACCGCATCCTTCAAGTGCGGTTTACTTATAAAACGCATCATGGAAGTGCGTTCCATTAAAATAGGTGTTATTTCTGTCATTTTTTTCATATGTGTGCTAGTTTTGTAATTTTTTTTTAGGGTGCTATTATTGGAAAAAACTCATTTAAAAGCTAACATAAACTAATTTATCACGCTATAAACAAAATTCACAATATTAAAAATGGATCTCTCTGTCTTCTGTAGTTAGTTTTGACTCTACTCGTTGCAACTGCAAGTGTAAAAAGAACATTTCCAGCTTTGAGATATATTAAAAACAAGTTTCAAAGTCGAATTGCGACCAATTTGCTAATGGTTACTTAGTCGGATACGTTGAGAATTTGAAAACGTGTTGAAGTGCTTATGAAAATGATGATTGTGTTAGTCTAGTATTTCATTAATATCTATCAATGAATTATTTGGATATTATTAGTTTTAATTATATTTATTAAATATTTATTTATTTATTATATATTTATATTATGGAAAGAGGACACAAGTACTTACAAACTCTGGCTCCGCCACTGCATGTATTCAACCTTCTTATCATATTGGTATGTTTATACCATCATGGTACGCTTTCTTACCATATGGTATTAAATATGAGCATACCATAAGGTAATGACTGGTAAAAAATTATTCAATTTTTTTGTACTAAAAATATATAAAAGTGGACATCATTTTAAAGAGCACGTTTAATCAAATTTATCTGTGCAAAAAAATTTAAATTTCAACTTAAAACGAGAGAGAAATCGTCTGTTAAAGATTAAAGGGGAAAAGATAAAAAAAACTATTCAGAAGAGAGAGATATTGATGTCATACTGATGTGAACGGGTTACTCATGGTTACTGACCATAAGGTTACTTACCTCATCCGTTCACCCTCTCCACTACTCATACAAGTAGGGGTGGTAAACGGTAATCCGGTAAATGGTTTACCGTTTTACCGAACCGGTAATCGACGGTAAACCGTTTACCGGCGGTATCGGCAGCCGAGCGGGAAGTTGGGGGAGTTAGTTTACCGGACACGGTATCGGTAAAATACCGACTGTAAATTGGTAATACCGATACCGAAATTCCCCCTCCCTACTCCACTAACATATACCATATACATCATTATTCACAAATATAAAATATTAGATACATGAATGTAAGTAAGTATAGGCCTAAAAAATATTGTAAATAAGAGTTAATAATAAATTATTAATTACAAAAATGATGAAAAAAACTCAAAAAATCAAAATATTACAACATCACCCCACTTCCAGAAATTCGGTTCGGTAAATATTCGGTAAACCGACCGAAAAAACCGCTCGAAATCGCTTCTCACGGTATTTCGGTAATACCGGTTTGTAACCGTTTACCGGTAATTCGATAATCGGTAAACCGGTTACAAATCGGTATAGATAACCAATTTGACCAACTTCGATATACCGAAACCGGTAAATTCGGTAAACAATTTACCGTTTACCGACCGAATCTCACCCCTACATACAAGACGGTTAATGAATCAAGTCGCTTATAAACGATTTGGCGAGCTAGTTTGCTAACGGATTGGAGGAAATTCAAGGCGGACTAAGAAGGAAAAGTCTGTCGTGGATTAATAAATGGGCCCAAAAAATTTACATATGCAGTTCGAGAAGGAACATATTGCAGTTGCGTGGGTATGGGTGGGCATCGGTCGTTTCAGTCCACAAATGGATCAAATTGACTCATCACAAGACAAAAATAAAGAAAAAAACGAGGACCAGAACCGGATCAAAAGCATATTTGATTCATTTGGTTCGATTCAGTATGGTTCAAGTTCAATTTTGAGGCATTTCTTCTTTATACTTTAAATCATTCATTAGACCAAAACCGAATCACCATATATTTTTTATCCGATCCGATTCGGCAATCGTTGCCCACTCCCAGTAGCAGGCATGTGGTTTGATTATGCAAGCAGCAGAGGAAGATGAGATGACGACGGCAAAAGCAATTGGGCTCAAATATGGGGCCATTTATGATAATTCTAGAAAACACTATATAGCAATGTCAAGATCCGAGTTTTGCCACGTCACCCCTTGCTCCAAATAGCGCACAGTTCGGAGGGTTCGTTTTGTAAATTTAGACTCTGTTTTTTTTTTTTTTTGAAAGTCTTCGTTTTCTAAGCGGCTCTCTCCCATCGTCCGGCGACACTCTGTTCATCAGAAATCCCTCATCGTCTCTATCCCCCAATCTTTCGCTTAATCTTGCCGGTCGTCCACAATCAATCTCGCCGGCCGTCCAGAAAACAAAAGCTGTATCGCAGTTACTGTCCCTGTCCGGGTCTCTCTCGCCGTCTCACTCGACCCAATCTCTCGCTCAATCTCGCTCTCTCCGTCTCTCTCGACGCAATCTCTCCCTCAATCTTGCCGGCCGTGGGGCGTTGCATTCGTCTACCCAAGCAACTTCGCAGCCGCGGATTTGTGGATTCATGTGCGTAAGATATATATTTTGCCTTTGCGCAACCTGTACTGCGATGACCCTACTTTCCTTTTCCAAAGAGAGATCTATGCAATTGCTAACTAATTAGAGTGGTTTATGTGTTTTTGTCCTTGATGACTGGCCAGCCGTACCAATTTCCATTGCTAAAGCCAAGTAAGCAGATAATCAGATTCTTGCTATGTACATCCTGCAATCTGCACATTTTGCAGAATCAGTTTGATGTTAAATTAATATGTTACTTCAACATATGGATGAGCAATGCAGATTTATGATTTCGTTGTATTTCATTACATGTTCCCCTTAAGTATAGAGTCAAATTCCAGTTGCGAGATGATACTAGAGAAGCTGATTTTGCCATCTTGGAGCATGAAGGGCTGCAATTTTTTCAGAGTAATGGCTGATGTGCTTTTCCAATCAAACCAGAGGAACAAAGAACCTATTCCACCTCAGATTCAACAAATTGTTAACGTGACACTGAAACTCAATGTTAAACTAACTCGGTTCAATTTCTTGAACCATGAAGCTAAGTATTTTGTTGTGAGCATTGATCATGATCCACTTCAGGCACGCGTAGATGCATTTAAGCTGCACATCACTTCAGTTTGCCTAAACTGTACCAGACTACTATCATAGTTTATACCTATCTTATTTCTAAACTTTGATTGCAGCATTTGACCAAGACTCCAAGTCCTGAAGATCTTGGAGAAGCAACCTTAACTGGGCTGAAAAGGAAACATGTTGCTGGTGACCTTGACGATGAGAAGTAGTATTGCTGCAACTTCATGCAGTTAAGGGCCACATTGTCATGCTTCTGTTTAGCAATTTGCTTTTATCTACAGAGTGTTTAGTATTATCTTTTCATTCAGGTTTATATGGAATGTCTATTTCTAGGTTGATTCCCTTTTGGATTGTCCTTTATTGTTCAATTTGAGTTGTGGACAGTATGCAGGTTGTTTGCCTGACCAGGCTTGCTGCATTTTTTAGATAGTTTGATAAATGGTGTTATTAATGAAATACTGTTGTCAAGGTTCTGCTGCTTATTGATTCCAGATTGGATGTGCTTTAAAACTTCCTCCTACTACTTAAACAACACACTTGGTCTGCTATATTAAAATCATTTGTTTTCTTTGAGTCCATCGTGTGTTGTAGGGAGATTTGCCCATCTATGCATTACTTTAATCATTTTCAGTTAACTTTTTCATCAAGTATTTCTTGATTGCTCTTACTTTTTCATGGTAATTACAACTACAATTGATGTTTTTATGTAGGTGATAATGTTTTTATGTCGATGCTATTTGAGGTTTTCTATGACGAATACAATTTTATAAGCTCAAAATTTGATTAAGCTAAACCAATAGCTGCTGATCATGCTACTTATTTTTTCTATTCTTCAAAATTTTACAAGAAACCGGCCAACGGCCGGGCCCAATGCTAGTAACTAATTAAGATTAAGGGCGAAATTGAAGAAGAATGTCGTTATCGATGTATCACTATTAGCCTACGGCAAAGCTGAAGACAACAATAAGAAATTAATTTCACTTAATTCATTTATGGATCACCACATAACTACTCAATTAGCCTAATGAAATGATTATTTAGCTATTTACCAAAATAAATTATTTTAGCTCCTATTGTTTTTAAATGGTGTCAATTCTTCAATCAATACTAGACTTCAGTGATGTGCAGGTTGTCGTACGACTCATCATATTTTTTTTATACGAGGAACACCCTCTACGGTCACCATCATCGTTGATGTCGTAGTCGAGCCAAACCCTGGGGCTGCCGCCTATCGACTCAGGTGAGAGCGGAGTGCTACTCAAAGGTTTTATCCACCAACTGGTTGATTGTGTGGATCGAACACGCGACCTTGCGTTGCCCAACCAACACCCCACCTTGCGTGTGTCGTACGACTCATCATTGCGAGGGGCTGCGACTCATCATATGCTGCAGAAAAGTCAGGTGGTGTGAACATCATTTCAGCGTGCAACGTTTCTTTTCACGCCGCAAAGGAATAGCAGGGTTGCCCATTTCGTGACAAAAAAGGCCCTTGTTGAGTTAGTCGTACACTTGTCGATCAACGTTTTTTTCTTAATTCCATTTAGTAGCATGACATGCAAAGATTTTGTATATTGTCGTATCTCTGTTGTTTCCTTGCAAGGATACCTATGGGGAAAAAATACAAGAGTTTATTGTGGTCTCTAAAAAAATGTTAAGCTGGCATTAAATTAACACACATAACCTTTTCTTTTTCTTATATAGAGTTGTTAATTTGATATTTTTTTTGGATTGAAAGGTTGTTATAGATATAGAGTATTTTTTGGGGTTTTTATTGTTATATTATCGGCAGAAAAAGTTGGGTAATGTCTATTTTTATCCAAACATTTTTTGAATTTTTTTAATTAGCCAAACCTATCGAAATGCTAAGAATTAACCAAATATTAACTTTTAGTTAACAATTTTTTAGTAATGTTGATTTAGCAACATGATACTGACTTGAAAGAGACACGTGAAGGTCAATATTTCAAAGAAATATTATGTAATTCCAAAGAAAGTTTCACTTATTATATTATATTAATTAATTTATGTAAGTTGGAACATGCAATTAGTGAACTTTACTATTAACTTCACTTTATTTCTAGAAGTTAAGATTGGTGACGAAATTCTTATAAAATTAAAATATTCACAAGTCTATTAGTTTGTCATTCACTTTTATCGTCTAGACCCGAGTGTCAAAGATATTAAATACCCAATAAGATTTCTTGCATCGATCTCGTTTCTTACAGCGCCAAGAAACAAAGGACTGCCCGAACTTCACACACCAACCTAATGTGGACTGACGTGTATCTAAGCAACCGGCATAGTCGGCATCAGCATAAGCCTCAAGAACTGGACGACCACCCACTGGAAAATGCAATCCCACGGTCTGCGTGCCCCGGAGATATCGGAGAATCGCTGCACGCCAATGATGAGTACGTGGTGAAGACATGTACTGACTGAACACCTATACTGCATAAGCAATGCCAGGACGCGTGTGAGTAAGGTAGATCAAACTGCCCACGATACTGCGATATAGAGTACCATCCAGAAGCAACTCGCACGAAAACCGTGTTAACTTTAAATTTTGTTCCATCGGCGTAGTACACGAGTCACATGTATCCATTTGTACCTCCTCCAAGAGATCGAAAATATATTTCCGTTGACACACATGAATACCAGATGCCGATCGATCAAACTCTAAGCCCAGAAAGTAAGACAACGTACCCAGTTCCTTGAGGTTGAACGCATCCTGGAGAGTAGCCTTTAGAAGCTCTATCCCCGCCTGATCATTGTCACTAATGATCATATCATCAACATAAATGAGTAGAACTTTGATGCCACTGTCTGTATGGCAAAGAAACAGAGAGGGATCATTCTCACTCTGAACAAAACCTGCCCGAAGAACCATACTCTGGAACTTCTCAAACCAAGCTCGAGGAGACTGCTTCAGACCGTATAGCGACCGACGAAGGCGACAAAACATAGTTTTATCCCCCTTGGAATAACCTGGTGGGCGTTCCATGTAGACAGTCTCCTTGAGCTTCCCATGCAGAAATGCATTCTTAACATCCAACTGTATCAACGACCAATCCTGCATAGCTGCCACAGCAATGAGGAGAAATTTTACAATGCTATATAGTATTGGTGCTATAAGTTTTTGCCTTTATGGTACAACTTAAAATTGTACATTTACGTTATGGTACAACTTCAGATTGTACCTATACTTTTTGTACAAATTCTTTTATGGTACAACTTGAACTTGTACCTTTATGTGATGGTACAACTTCAAGTTGTAAAGTTGTACCATAACATAATGGTACAAATTGCTTTATGGTACAACCTAAACTTATACATTTAATGTTATGGTACAACTTTGAGTTGTACATTAAAGCATCAATACTATATAGCATAGTAGAAGTGCTCCAGCAATGAGACTCCGAACAGTTTGCATCTTAGCCACCGGAGCAAACGTCTCCTCATAGTCCACTCCAAACTGTTGTCTGAAACCTTGAGCCACTATGCGAGCCTTATGACGCTCAAGAGACCCGTCAGGAAGGAACTCGAGCGCATAAACCCATCGGCTCCCAATGCCAGTCATCTCAGGACGTCGGGGAATGAGATCCTAGGTGTGTTGAGCCTCCAATGCGTCAGTTTCAGCGTCCATGGCAGCCTCCCATTGGGGAAGACCTTGAGCCTGCTTGTAAGTGGTAGGAACAAAAACAGGTGAAATGGAAGAATAGGCAACGAAATCGGAATGGCGGGCAGGGGCCTTTCCTTTGGTAACACGGTCCGAACGGCGCAGAGGAGGAACAACAACAACATGAGGAGCCAAAGGACCAGAAGAAGCTGAGGACGAAGAGGAACTAGAGGAACTCGTGGAGGAGAACGTAGATGCAGACGACTCGGAGGAGGAGGAGCTGGCTGATGGTGGAGTCGGGGGAGGATCGTCATCCCCCCTGAATAGGAACAACCGAGGGCGCTGGGAAGGAGGGCAGAGGAGCCAAAAAATCCCATTGTGAACTATCAATCGCCTGATCTGACGCATAGTAGAGAGAATGCTCGAAAATACCATGTGACAAGTGATGCGAAGGCGCCGGTTGGCGACATCAAAACAAGCATACCCCTTGTGTTTGTCACAGTAGCCGACAAACACACACTTCGCAGCTTTGGGAGATAGTTTGGTACGTTCCTGGCGAGGAAGGAGAACATAACAAATACATCCAAAAATGCGAAGCCAAGTATAATCCGGAAGGCGGTAGAAGAGAACCTGGTAGGGGTTCCGTTGATCACGAACCGGAGTGATCTGACGATTAATTAAGTAAACAACATTATGAATGGTCTCCACCGAGAAGCTCGAAGGAAGGCGAGAGTGGAAGAGTAAGGAACGGGTGATTTCAAGAACATGACGGTTCTTGTGTTCCACCACCCCATTCTTCTGTGAGACACCAGGACAGGATTGTTGAGGAAGAATCCCCTGCTTCCGAAATAGGTCATGGAGTGGATGAGACACAAACTCACCCCCATGACCCGAGCGAAGTATCTTGACTACCTTGCCAAATTGTGTAGAGACCATCTGAATGAACTCCCGAGCCACATCGACCAATTTCGATTTCTGCTTAAGAAAGTAAACCCAGGTGAAGCGAGTGACCTGATCGACGAAGAGGGAAAAATAACGAAACCCCAGGAGAGCAGTGACAGGAGAGGGACCCCATAAGTCAGTATGGACCAGATCAAAAGGCTCCGAATACACAGTAGAACTATTACCAAAAGATCCCTGGGAAATCTTTGCTTCCACACAGTGAACACAATCATGATAAGGAATAGTACGAACCGAGCCTGACAACCAATTATTTTTAAACATCTCAAACAATCTCGATTTATCGGGATGACCTAACCGATAATGTCATAAATCCCAATCCGAAAGTCGTACTGAATAAAAATTGGTGTGAACATAAAGAGAATAATACAAGGAAGCAGCAGGCAATGAAGGTGCACAACCAATAGCTCGATCAGGCAACTTGAGCGCTCCACCACCGCGATCCAACGGCTGCCAAGAAATGCTATCAAGCATGTACACTCGGCCACTCTTACTCCCTCTCCCGATCTCCCTGCCCGTCTTCGTGTCGCGCACAACGCAACCATGAATATCAAATGTAATCGTACAACCCTCATCATCTAGTTGACCCATCGAAACCAAGTTCGGTGCCAATTTCGGAATATAAAAGGTATGGGGCAGCTCTAATTTACGAGTACTGACAATCCCCACACCATCCACAGACATAGTAGAACCATCATCAACTTGTAGAGTAACACCAGAGCTAGGGCAGACATGATTAAATGATGAGGGATCACTGGTCATATGATTTACAGCAGCTGAATCGAGATGCCAAGAGGAAGGAGAGACCATACCCGTAGCAAAAGTCGGCGCTGCCATCTCCTGAAGTGCCTCGCGTATGAGACGACGAATGTCATCGTGTGAGACCCCAGAGGAGCTAGTAGGAGCAGGAGGTAAGGGTGCAGCATGCGGAGCATAATGAGCAGGAGGCAAGGGTGCAGCAGGAGCATAAT